TACGGAAAAGCCTGGTTTGTGAGCCAAGTGGGTGTTTTACAAAGGACAGGAGTTTCCGGTTGTAGTCACTGAACACAGGCAACCTCACCGGACTGCACACCCACACGTGTCGGCATGAGCAGCAGAAAGTGGAGAAGCAGCCGAAGGGAAAGAGAGGCAGGTGGTCTCCAGGTTCCTGCCATTAGGGCCCTGGGCTGGGAGGCGTGGTCGAAGGTACTGGTTGACCCCATTAGGTGAATTAAGCCCACCTGGCCTACTTTGGGCCCACCCAGGTGTACCGCCTCCCTGGCTCAAGGGCCTGAATTTGGAGCATGCTCAGTCTCTGCTCCGGCGCCCTAACAGAACTTAAATGACTGATTCCTTTGAATTCTGATGTTGGGGAAGAATATTGAGCGTCCCTTTGACTCCCAGAAGAACAAACAAATCCGTCTTGGAAAGAGGACCTTTGTTCGGCACGAGGATGGCAAAACTGAGTCTTTTTTTTCTTTTTTAACATTTTATTAGGGGCTCATACAACTGTTATCCCAATCCATACACACATCAATTGTGTAAAGAGCATTTGTACATCGTTTCTCAAGACATTTTCTCTCCACTTAAACCCCCGACATCAGGTCCTCATTTTTCCCCTCCCTCCGGCAAAACTGAGTCTTATATGCGTCTCGCCCACCCCCACAAGACATAAGTGCCTTTTAAAATAAATGATATATCTCGATGAGTACGGTCAATAATTATATTTATGGATTAATTATTTAAGAATCAGAACCAATGATTCATGTTCTCTGTATTACATTGTGACATATCTTGTGTAGTATATTCTATTGTGGAATGACTACACACACACACACACACACAAAAGAAAACAAATTCACTGTCAAGTCGATGCCTACTCACAGCAACCCCGTAGGGCAGAGTAGAACTGCTCCTGTGGGTTTCTGAGGCTGTCACTCTTTAAGGGAGTAGAAAGCCCTGTCTCTCTCCCAAGGAGAAGTCAGTGGTTTCAAACTGCTGACCTTGCAGTTAGTAGCCCAATGGATAATCACTATACCACCAGGGCTCCTCGTTGGAATGACAACTTTTACAATATTCAAGAAACCTAGAAGAAGAATGCCAAGAATCCCTCCTTCTGCCACAGTTTCAATGATTTTCTTCATCACTTCAGCAAGCCTGCCAGGGTGAACTGAACACAGAAGGAGGTGGTGGGAAGTGACAGTGGTTTCCATTGGTCACTGTTGGTTCACATGATCTTGGCTGAAGTCACCATTCACGTGCTCAACTATCAAAGATTGCCTTTGCTCATTGTAACCAACCAACCGTATTTGTGGTGTCTGAGAATATTTATCATAATTGACATAAAGGTCCTAAGTTCTGGTGTCAAAAACGGCATTTCTGGTGTCAGAAACGGCATCGTCGCCTCCAACAGTCTTTAGCTGTACAGTTTTTGCCATTTCCCGTGTGTCTAGGGTAGCCTCATCTGCTTCAACAATCCTCTCCTCCCTTATCTGCAGCTTCTTCTTCACCTTCCTCCTCCTCTTCCTCACTTAAACACTGCGCAATCTGGGAGTTTCTTACTGATCTTGCTCTCCAGTGAAATCTCCTTAGATGCTTCAGTGTTTGTTTAGTGTTCTGCAACACTCGTGCTTTCCCAGCCCCATCTTCTTCTTCAATGACAGCTGCCAGTCCGTCTGAATAGTCCAACTGTTTGCACCCCATGCAACAAGGTGCATTTTGGGTTACACAGAATTGTCTGCTTGTTGATGGAGACGCTTTCACTTTCAGCTCTTCCCCTGTCGCCACTGCCAGGTTTGACAATGGTGGACTACATGGTCTACTGTGGGAAACAGAAAGATTTCTCCCAAGTCGTCTCCCCCAAGTGCATGTTAGACTTAGGCCACTGCTTGCAACTCATGGTAAATGATTGTCAAGTTATCTCCCTGAAGACTGCAGCCATCCAGAGCTAGCAGACACCATTGTCCCTCCCACAATAGGCAGGGCTCACTCCCTGCTGTTACGGACAGTGGATTGCTTCCCCTGAAAGCTTAGCCTCAATAAAGTCTCCAGCTCTAGGGCAATCAAGGTTAGGCCACCATCTTGAGTCTAGGGACTGTCCATCTTGTCATGTGTGTACCCCTAATCCCTCCTCTTCCTTTAGCGTGTGTACCCCTAGATCACCCCCTCCCATTACTGTATTACCTATGGCACAACCCTGTGCTGTGACGATGTCTTCACCTGTAATTAGGGGGCTTGCATGTCCCCAGAGAATATAAAAGACTTGGTTAGCATTAAAAATCTCTCTCTCTCCATGTGGACCACCAATCGAGGCTGAGGTGAACATGCTACCATGAAATGTGTCTGACTCCATTATTTCAATCTCTCTTCTATCTCTCACGGTATGACTTTACTATGATCTTTACTTATTATCGCTGTACAATTGCGCCTATCGGACCTGTGATGACTTCTTAGGGGTTGGTATCCCTGACAAACCCCCTCAGTAATGGTAACGTGTTTCTTTAAGCCAGCGGTTCTCAACCTGTGGGTCTCAACCCCTTTGGGGAGTAAACGACCCTTTCACAGGGGTCGCCTGATTCATAACAGTAGCAAAATTACCATTATGAAGTAGCAACGAAAATGATGTTGTGGTTACGGGGTCACCAGAACATGAGGAACTGTATTAAAGGGCATTAGGAAAGTTGAGAACCACTGCTCTAAGCTTCCTGTAGAATTGGGATCTGTATTAAGCCACTTCCTTTCCCTTTCCTTCACCTGGTGAATCACGTTCTGCCTCCTGAGCCAAAGCAGTGGCCAGGCCTGTGCCTGGGTGGGTAAGGCAGTCTCACATACTTTGAACATGTGATCAGACCTTGGAGATGGGCATCTTGAACATGTAATCAGTCCTTGGAAATGGGTGTGGTAGTTACATAATCTGGTGTCAATTTGGGAATTTGGGATTTGAGAGGATTAAGAGGGGGTGGGGACGAGGGGAATAAGGGAGAAGAACGGGACACAAGACTTATGTGGGCACTGACCTGGAGCGGGACCAAAAAGACATACAGTATTTCAAACCTCTGGCTGGGGAGGCATGGTTGAAAGTATTGGTTGGCCCCATTGGCCGAATTAAGCCCACCTGGATGATGTCACACAGCCCAGGCCTAGTTTGGACCGCCCAGGTGTACCTCCCAGCTGGCTGGGGGCTTGAATTGGAGCATGCTCGGTTAAGGGGTCCTCACAGGTGTTTCATGCTCCCCTGATTTCCTTCCCAACCGCCCGAAGGGGCCTGTGCAGGCATGGGAGGGACAGGCCCCCAAATAATGGCAAGCTAACATTTACAATCCTTAGCAGGGTGAAAGGCGTGGCTATGTTTTGGCCTGAGGTGGCCTCTAGTCTCCACGACCTCATTGCCATCAGGCCGAATGACTCAAAGTGACCCTGGTGCGTGGTGGTACACGCTAGACTGCTGGCTGCAAGGTCGGTCTTTTGAAAGCACCAGTCTCCCTGTGGGGCTTACTGGAAAGAGTTACAGGCTCGGAAACGCACGAGGGCAGTGCTACCCTGTCCTATAGAGTCGCTGTGAGTGTGCATCCACTCCATAGCAGGCAGAGGGTTGGGTTGGTGGGTTTGGACACTAGGAGTCAAAGTACACGCACAGGCACCACACAACAATCGCCCTCGGCGCGCTCCACACCCAGGCAATTCCCGGGGTGCCGCCTCCAGGCAACCCAGAGGGATTTCACCCCAA